CCCTAATCCTTAAGCTTAAACCCTAACCCTAACCTTTCACCCTAATCCTCAATCCTAAATCTATTCTTAAACTCTAACCTAAAACCCTAACCYCTAACCTTAACCTTTCACCCTAACCCCAAACTCTAAGCCTATTCTTAAACCCTAACCCCTAAGCTTAAATCTTAACTCCTAAGCCTAAACTTAAATTCTTATGCCTAACTCCTAAACTTAAACACTAACCCTAACCTTTAATCCTAGCCCTAACCTTTCACCCCAACCGCAAACCCTAAGACCATTCTTAAATTCTAACCCTAAGCTTAAAACCTAAACCTTAATCCCGAACCCTAAACCTAACCCCTAAACCTTAATCCTAAACCCTAAACCCTAACCCCTAAGCTTAAACCCTAGCCGCTGAACCTAAATGCTTAAACCTAACTCCTAGTCTGAACCCAATTACCCTAACCTTCGACCTGAGCCCCCTAACCTTAGACCTAAGCGCTGCCCGTGCCCCGCAGCGGCGCGCGGCCCCGGCTACGGCCTCCTGTCCATCCGCGTGGACGGCAACGACGTCTTCGCCGTGTACAACGCCACCAAGGAGGCGCGGCGGCGCGCCGTGGCCGAGAACCAGCCCTTCCTCATCGAGGCCATGACCTACCGGTGAGCGCGGGGAGCTCCCGCCGGGAACATCCCGCCGGGAACGCCGCCGCTCACGCGCGTCCCCCGCACCAGCATCGGCCACCACAGCACCAGCGACGACAGCTCCGCGTACCGCTCCGTGGACGAGGTCAACTACTGGGACAAGCAGGACCACCCCATCTCGCGCCTGCGCCACTACATGCTGGCGCGCGGCTGGTGGGACGAGGAGCAGGAGAAGAGCTGGAGGAAGAGCTCGCGGCGCAAGGTGAGCGCGGCCGCGTCCCCGCCGCGTCCCCGCCGCGTCCCCGCCGCGTCCCCGCCGCATTCCCGCCGCTCCGCAGGTCATGGAGGCGTTCGAGGAGGCCGAGCGGAGGCCCAAGCCCAGCCCGCGGCTGCTCTTCGCCGACGTGTACCAGGAGATGCCGCCGCACCTGCAGCGGCAGCAGGCGGCCCTGGCGCGGCACCTGCGCCGCTACGGCGAGCACTACCCGCTGCAGCACTTCGAGCAATAAAGCGGCGCCCGCTTCGTCCC